TCAAGGATATTGAATTCTGCGGACTGTTCCAAAGAATTTGTGGGGAGTATTCCAAAATTCTACAAATAATTTCTAGTGAATCCTGCAGATAGTTTCAAGATAATTTCGAAAAGAATTCCGAGAAAATCAAATTTTAAGTGAAATTCCAAAAGGATTTTAAGAAAAATTTCAAGCGAATTCCGAGGATAATTTCAAGCTCATTCCGGGAAAAAATCTGAAACTCTAAAGGCATTTCAGTTCCAAGGTGTTCCGAGAAAAAATCATGAAGAGTTCTAAGTATAATTTCAGTGGACTTCTGAAATGAATTTCAAAAGAGCTCTTAGGAGAGTTCTAAAGACATCCGAGGAGAACCTCAAGGATATTGAATTCTGCGGACTGTTCCAAAGAATTTCTGGGGAGTATTCCAAGAAAATTATGCGAATAATTTCTAGTGAATCATGCAGATAGTTCCAGGATAATAGAATACCGAGAAAATTAAATTTTAAGTGAAATTCCAAAGGTATTTTAAGCAAAATTTCAAGCGAATTCCGAGGATAATTTCTAGCTCATTCCGGGAAAAATTTCTGAAACTCTAAAAAATTTCAGTTCCAAGGTGTTCTGAGAAAAAATCATGAAGAGTTCTAAGTATAATTCCAGTGGACTTCTGAAATGAATTTCAAAGGAGCTCTTAGGAGAGTTTTAAAAAAATCCAAGAAGAACCTCAAGGACAGTTCCAAAGGATATCTGGGGAGTATTCCAAGAAAATTCTGTGGATAATTTTCAGTGAATCCTGCAGATAGTTCCAAAATAATGCCGAAAAGAATACCGAGAAAATTAAATTTTGAGTGAAATTCCAAAGGGATTTTGTGGAAAATTTCTAGGGAGTACCGATAATTTCTTCTAATTTTCCGGGAATAATTCTTGAATAATACTTAGGAAATTCTTCTGAAACTCTAAGGGAATTTCAGTTCCAAGTTGTTCTGAGTAAAAGTCAAGAAGAGTTCTAAAAATAATTCCAGAGGACTTCTGAGAAGAATTTTAATAGAGCTCATAGAGTTCAAAAAATTTCGAAAGACTATCAACAAAATCTGGAGATGGACTTTTTTGAACCTTTTGAACCTTGGTCTATTGTTGTCTTACTAAGAATTCGTCTAAGAATCTTCTCTGAAAATTTCAAGTCATTTGTTACCGTGGTTAAAAAGTTACAGCTATTTATGTGCGTTGCAATAAATTCGGAATTGTCCTTTGTATCATCTTTAAAACATGTTGAATGTTTGGCATCATTTCGTGTCACCCCGACTGGCGGTACTTTGGGACAGGGTTGACATGCTCAATCCTTCGCACAAGTCGTAATTCCGTTAACAATCCTGTACTCGCTTGTCACAATAGTTTTTTGTGCTTTACATATTTTTTAAACCTTTTAAATAATCCTTTTAGCCTTGGCATTTAGGTCAAAATTTGAAAAAATAGAACTAAAATTTTCGCTGAAAATGACCAAGTTCAACGTACTCGCAACGGTAATAGTAAAGTGTAACAACAACAGCATATAAGGGCTTACAAAATCTTGAAACATTAAAAAATAACTGTAACGATGTCTTCAAAATATACAAAAATGTACTACACAAAATTTCAGAAAGGTAACTGAAAAAAATATGATACCAGTACCTTGAAGAACATGTTTTCTTTGGTTCATATTTTTAACCTGTAAAGAAGAGCATGACGCAAAACATTATTACAACGATTCCTACAGGGTTCAGAAATTGGAAGAAAGCGACCGAGTTGATGGGCAACCACAGTGATACCCATGTTGGTAGTATGGAAGCGTGGACAAATTTCAAAACCAGGAAAGGTATAGACGAAGAACTGGACCACCAAAAAAACAGCCAGTACACAAGTAAAGGGTGATACGGTCAAAATTTGGTCAAGGGAAAACGCGTGTAAATCGGTGAAATCGTTTATTTAAAAAATCAAATTAAATTTCTTTTTCAAGTTCAATTAGTATAAAATTCAGGAAAAAATATTCAGTTAGGCTTCCACTTTTCCAAATCCGAATTGCCGGGCCTTACACTTGACCCCTGCCATCAGATTTTGTACAGCCACCTTGTCCACCTTCTTCGCCGCAGAAAGCCAGTTTGCCTTGAACTGCTGCTCGCCCTTAGCAGTTTTTTTGGCCTTCTTTAGGTTCCGCTTGACAATAGCCCAGTATTTCTCAATTGGGCGGAGCTCTGGCGTGTTGGGAGGGTTCTTGTCCTTGGGAACCACCTGCACGTTGTTGGCGGCGTACCACTCCATGGCCTTTTTACCGTAATGGCAAGATGCCAAATCCGGCCAAAACAGTACGGAACAACCGTGTTTCTTCAGGAAAGGCAGCAGACGTTTATTCAAACACTCTTTCACGTAAATTTCTTGGTTGACAGTCCCGGAAGCTATGAAAATGCTGCTTTTCAAGCCACAGGTACAGATGGCTTGCCAAACCAGATATTTCTTTGCGAACTTTGACAGTTTCATGTGCTTGAAAACATCTGCTACCTTTCCCCTTCCTTTTGCCGTATAAAACTCCTGTCCCGGAAGCTGCTTGTAGTCGGCTTTGACGTAGGCTTCGTCGTTCATTACCACGCAATCAAACTTCGTCAGCATCGTCGTGTACAGCCTCCGGGATCGCGCTTTGGCCGTCGTATTTTGTTTATCATCGCGATTTGGAGTCACTACCTTCTTGTAAGTCGATAGTCCGGCTCGTTTTTTGGCTCGATGCACGGTTGTAGACGATACACCCAGCTTATTTGCGGCATCTCGGAGAGAGAGGTTAGGGTTTCGCTTGAAACTACCGGCAACTCTCTTTGTCGTCTCAGCGGCTTCCGGTTTTCGATTTCCCCCCGATCCAGACTTCCTGGCTGTCGACAAACGTTCCCCAAACACTTTAATTACATTTGTAACGGTTGATTTGGCAACTTTTAGCGATTTTGCCAACTTTGCGTGCGAGTAGCTCGGATTTTCGCGATGCGCGAGCAAAATTTTGATACGCTGCTCTTCTTGCTTGGACGGCATTTTGACAACTGAAGAGTGAATTCCAAAATCAAAATAGGAGCAACATTTTACACACACACACCTTCAAAATGAGGGGTGTTCAGGTTTTTTAAATGCAAAATTGAAAGAAATACGTCAAGTTGATATTGACCAAATTTTGACCGTATCACCCTTTAACCGTATTCAAAATGACAGGATTACGTTGTTGCACAATGTAGTGTTGCAGAACATTGCGAAAACCTTGCGAGGAACACCAGTGGCAATAATTGTAGATGAGACGAGCGATTGTGGCCATCACGAGCAGTTGGTGATTGTCATCAGGTATATTGATAATGATGGGATTAAATTGCCAATTCCATTGGCTGTCTGAAAGCAGTTTGCATTGAAGAAGATGAACCACCACCGGAGCAAAAAATAAACAAAACTAGCTAAATTGAACAGTAGGGAAACAGTGGTGGATGAACAGTACTCCCTATCCCCAGATTAAATGCACCATAGAAAAAAAAATTGCCCCTCCTTAACAAGATTCCTGAGCACGCTAGTGATATGATATCAAAGGTAATACCCTAAGCTACAAAATGAAACCAAGGTTTCCAGTTTGGAAATAGGGCAAAAGGTAAATTTAATCATTATTATCTAATATCAAAATTATCTACATTATCAAAGATAACCCGTTTTACGGTAACTTTCTGTACAAAGAGCAAATAGATTTTCAGTCATGGAAATAGCTATTCACATGTCCGAGATTTGGTGAAATTTGACCTACATTTGGATTTTTCTCCCAGAAATCGAGATTATAACCAAATTCACTGAAATGTTGAACAATTGTTGGGGACCTCAATACGCAGAGCAGTGGGGAACAGGTTGAAGCCAATGTGGTTTAGGCCGTCTTTATGATTCCTGTTGATCACATTATCCAAACCGGAGGCGAGGGGTTCGATTCCCAGTCCTCATGCATTGGTTGACAGAAAAAGTACTCAATTAAACTGTGGAAGTACTACTCTAGTTGAGAGCAAGCAAAACTGTTCGGGCAGTTTCTCACATAACGAACTGAACATAACTTACACGTTGCTTGCTATAAACTGGCAATTGCCAGTTCTAATGCACTTCAACTAATTTCAATGCACTTGGACTATATGTTTAAGTATTACTTCTGCGTGAAGTCAACGATTTACATAGTTGAAGATGCTAATTTCAAATAACAGACTAAAGTGGTAATTTTTATACGATAGATGAAAGTATAGAATTGATGGTTCCGTTTAGAGTACGGCAGTGTGAAAATTGCATATAGAAGTAGAAAGCGAGCTAGACAACTTTTAGGAAGGTACAAATCAGTTTTATTCATCTCTTTTTACTAAACTCCCCCTTTGGAGAGGGATGGTGAGGGGTGCCCCCCGCCACCACTGGCAAAAAGAGATGATCACCGACCCGCTCATGTACCAACGATGTGTTTGAAACAGTTCTACCGATTTTTACCGCACTCCAGTTGTTATCTGAAAGAAGGCATCCAGTCGTAGGTTTTGAAATTGCAGCTATTGTTACCTCTACCACGGTATGTGCTCCTGTCATCGTCGACTTGACGATCTCGAGGGGACACGGATGCCTTCCTTCAGATAACAACTGAAGTGCGGTAAAAATCGGTAGAACTGTTTCAAACACATCATTGGTACATGAGCGGGTCGGTGATCATCTCTTTTTGCCAGTGGTGGCGGGGGGCACCCCTCACCATCCCTCTCCAAAGGGGGAGTTTAGTAAAAAGAGATGAATAAAACTGATTTGTACCTTCCTAAAAGTTGTCTAGCTCGCTTTCTACTTCTATATGCAATTTTCACACTGCCGTACTCTAAACGGAACTATCAATTTTATGCTTTCATCTCCTCATCTATCGTATAAAAATTACCACTTTAGTCTGTTATTTGAAATTAGCATCTTCAACTATAATTTCAATGCTTAAAAGTGTAACATCTCCAATAATGTCCTTCTTTTTCACCCTCCAGCAATCAACCCTTCAAAACTGGCCAATTCCGGGTAAGTCAATTGCAGTGCACAGCCACGCTATTAAGTTTTCCAATCTAGGAATCCCTTCAAGTACAAACTCCATCGAGCCTAGCGGGCACGGCGGCTCATCTACTCATCAAAGACGCGTCTGCAAGAATTAGTGCTATCAGTCTCAAGAGTCTGCACTCGAGAGCTAAAAAAGTCGCGATTACATCTTGTTGTATTTCCGGAGGGAGAAAAAAAAAGCAAACTTCCATCAATCTCTCATCAACCCAGACACCATTTCACTCGAAGTGTCTCCAGATACTTCTCGCCTGCCAACCGCCTACACACATACCCATCATCCACTCCGTGATTCTTTGATTCTGCAAGCGAACGCTTTGCATTTGCACTTGCTACTTGTGGTAGGCACTAATGAAAACATTGCATAGCTGCAGCAGAGCATTTCCAGGCCAAAGAGCAAACACAAAATTTAATTTCAGACTCGACCTTCTCCGATCTGCGTGAAACCTTGCATAATTGTTTGTTGTGGTCAAATATAGTTGAGTAAAAATTTGGACTTTGTGAATCCCGCAAAAAACTTTAAAATCACGTATTCTGTTAATGAAGTTCGGCGAACGTCATAAAAATTTAGAACTTTAAAGAACTTCATAGATCATTGCGAAACTTCAAACGAATTCGTGGAAGATCAGAAAATTTCGATAAAGCTCAGGAAACTTTCTTATAGTGCAGTGATTTCTGAAGAAGTTCTGCAAACTTTGTAGAAGTTTATTAAACTTTATAGAATTTAAGAAAATTTTGTTACAGTTCAGTGCACTTTAAACAAGTTCAGCTAAGTTTGTATAAAATCAGCTAACTACGTATGAGGATCAGTGGATTTTGTAAAAGTTGTTTTTGTAAAGCTCCATTAGATTTGTTTTTGACGTAGAACTACGTCTTTGTCGACTATACTGGAGTGCAAATAAAAAAAAATGTGTTAGGTTTTGAACGCTTGTAAGATGGTAACTTAAAGATGACATTAAAATCTAAATACGCCAATCGATAGGATTTATGTCTACAAATCTGTTGAAACAAATACTTTTCAAATTGTCTTTAAAAAAAACTTTTGAAAAATGTACAAATGATAATTATATCGCTATTTTCATGAAATAAACCTTTTTTCCCAAACCCAGTCGTCACAATCGCGTACCACTTGGTTGCACATCGTTCTGCTTGAACCTGAAAAGTTATAAAACAGTGCTGCTGCCTCTGCCCATTCCGCTTCGAACGGCGTGGCAGCAAACAGCAAACAGGAGGAAGAGGTGCATTTTCTTCCTCTCTGCCGTCGTGCTAAACATTCTCGTAGTGGAGATCGAACAATCGGTCCTTCTCAGGTTCTCAGGACCACACATTATTACTCGTCAGCAGCGTTGCCAGGTTGCCAGATTTATCTGGCACAGCCAGAGAAATTTTTGCTCTGCCAGACAGATTTTTTGAGAAATCTGGCAGCTTCCTATGTTAATTTGCTGTGCCAGATATTCGCCAGACATTTTTTTCGGGTTTTGCCAGATTTTTTTTCTAAATAAGCCTGGCATCTCTGCTCGTCAGACAGAGGTCTCCCGAACGACCCAAGACCGCTGCATAGATAGTTCGGTGTTATCGGTCCAACATGAAGGCAGTCAGAGGTAGTGCGTCACCATCTACTGATTGGTGACGCGGAGAAGGTCGTTCAACTTGAGACAGGAAATTCAAATTATTACGTTCGACACGTAACTATGATGCTACTTATCAAAACATTGATCAGGTGGAGAACCTGTACACGAGCTTTTGCGCGCTGACTTTTAAACTCAATAACTGAATCTCCCTAATTTCCAATTAATGTTATACTATGCACGATATATGCAATCTTTATCTAAAGAAAACAGAACAAAGAATAATGAAAGTTATGTGGCATATATTAGCGCTAGTGTAAGCAGGTCTTAACTTGACGCTAACGAGTCAGCAAGCCGGGTGTGCAGTCCCTCGCTGTGAGCGCAACAGTTCAATGCCGGTAAAAGGAGGTCTCTATGGCAACGCTTCATAAACACATATGGGCAACTCTCCACTCACTTTCGGATCAGCTCTTCACAACGTAATAGTACGTTCAGACTACAGAGTTATAACATGTTATAGCGCTATCTTGATGGTGGTTTCTGTGTTGCAATTATTTGACAACCGTTATAACATGTTATAACTCTCCAGTCTGGACAGCGTTTAAGTCGCAAAAAAGTTATGAACTAGAAATTTATGTTGAAGGGGAGAGAACTACTTCGGCCTAATCGCCCATTTCAGGCCTATCGAGCAGAAAACTAAAAATATATAATTAATCCATGATTTCAGAATTAACAAGTCAATTATGCGTTTGGTAGATGCTTTAGCTAATAATCTACCGAACGAAGTCAATGAGAACGCGTGGTATGAAGGTTTGCACCCATTATTCCCAAAAACAAAAGAAGCGCTCCTATCGAATCAATTTTTATCTTCATCCGATAGGCCGAAGTGAATTCATTAGCGTTTCAATTGCGTTTCAATGCGTTAGACCGAGTTAAGAATCCGTAGGTCGAGTTTGGCGTCAAAAAGCAGTGTTAGACTTTTGACAACGATTGGTTTCTCCTTTTCAAATCTTATGGTACGTACGGGAAGGTAAATAAATTTGGAAGCCATCAGTAATAATAACATTCCGTTTGGTGCTAAACTGCGCTAGATTAAGAAAGATTAAGTGCGGGTTGTGCTTAATAGGCCAGAAATGGGGTAGTTAACCCTATATGGGAAGGAGGGGCTTAGTGAACAGGTGGGCATAGTGAGCTTCCTGTGCTATAGCCTTGGATTTTGTATGGTTCGAATCAAATTAATTGGTCGTTAATCATTGCAATGGTAAATTGAACCTAGTACCAATTAATTTGTTTCCAACTGTTAGAGGTTAGAGACTGCACTGCCCCTATATGGGGTTTAATCCATTCCATTGGGTGTTTAATATGGTTCAATGAAACAATCAAATTGACATTTCATTTATTCAATTACAACGGTTGCTATTTTATAGATTTTTAATTGAGCACAGGTAAAGAATATAAGTCAACTTAAATAAATTTTAGTTGAAAGCCACTTGTCTGTCATAGTTCTGCAACGTGAAGATATGTGATGTCAGGTGCACTTTGATTTCTAAAGTTGTTTTGCCATGACTAACATAAGTTAATTTCCGAAAGTTGGGTGAACATGTTTAGAACCTAATGATGAATAATATAGGAACTGATTTTATAATTTCAAAAATTGAATCCTAGTTTTAGGATGTATTCAACAACCCCCTATTTTTTTATAATGAATTGTTCATTTTGGACGTAAATTCCTAAACCATTTATTTTGTTATTAATTAATAATATATTTATATTACTTAATGGAGCAGCAAAAATAATCTCAAAGTTGTACGTCAAAAATGCGGTCGTGCTTTGGACACAACCCTAAACTTTTTATTTTAACTAATCATGTTTGTATTACTTCATGCGTGAAGTTAACGATTTACATAGTTGGAGATGCTAACCAGACTTAAAGTGGTCAAAGTGATTGATGATTAAACAAAAAGTTCAAATATGATTTTTGTTAATTTTTAAGAGTCCAACTCGAAAATTTCTCAGAAGATATCACTTATTTATAAGCTATTTAATGAATTTGGTTTTTTTTTTTCCAAAATAAGATGATATTTTTTACCGTGTATATTTTCCTGAAAATCAAATATATTTTCATACAACTTTTCTCAGAGATCATGTCGATTGGAAGTGAGATTTTTAAGTAATTGCTTATTGAAAAATATTGAATACACCACTTTGAAGTTTTTGTCGAGATTCAAAATGGCCAAATTTAGCTCAAATGCGAATGATTAACCTCAAAAAACAATCATGCAAAGCGAAAAGCAAATCGGAGAAGGTTGCATCAAATCGTTTCGTAATTTGACGTGGAACTGCTCAGCAGCAGCTCATACATAAAAGAAGTCTCTCAGTCCGGCGTCGTCATTACATTTCCTGCAACAAAGATACTCAGCCGCCGGATTCAAGAGCTTAGCTCCTTTCAACTCTATTTACATCAAAGCCGACAGTTTTAATTTTAATTTTCCACTCTCTTTATCGCTGTTGCTTTATGCTGCTACTGCTGCTGCTGAGCTGCTTCTACTGCTGCACGTACGATGAAACCGACTCAAAAGTGAGTTCAATTCGACTCAATTTTGCCAACAGTGTAATTGCTCACAAAGTGAGTAAAATTTTCCGAGCTTTTCCAGGAAAAATTCTCGAATATGAGAAAAACCGAGAGAGATTTCACTTACTAATAGACGTATACTCACAGACTGAATATAATTTTCATCGATTTTCTTCATATTCGAGAAGTTTTTCCTGGGAAAGTTCGGAAAATTTTACTCACTTTGTGAGAAAATCCACTTTTGACCAAATTAAGTCGAATCCAACACACTCTTGAGTCGGTTTCATCGTCCGTGTGCTAAACAACACTTTGTTGTACTGGTGTTGCAGCGATACTTGTTTGATTTTCTTTTCTCACCATCAGCAGTAAGCGCCGTGCACAATTTTCCCTTGGTTTCCTTTTCAAAACCGCCCACCACCACAAGTGCAATCTAACGTCAGTGCATAATATTATTTTTGTTTTCGACGGAAACGTGCAGGTACGTTTCACTGTTACAGCAACGTAGTGCATTATGAAAAATGGGGATGGTCACAGACCATACAAGTCCTCTATAGGGAATTCGATAATGGAATTACCATAGAATTCCATCTCAGAGACGCCCGGATTCCTGCCATCGTGTGAGTGAAGCGAATTTATAATATGTTCTGGTCTATAACAAATAAGGAATATTTATAATATTATATTATAGATAATAGGGTAAATGATGGCTTCGGCATCCATTGACTGTTTCCGGCAATTAAAACTTAAACGTTAATTTCGCTGTATTTTCTCACCAAATAACTTGACTGAATATATTTAAACGATTCCATAAGCTTCAATATGATTAC